GAGATGAAAAAGCTCTTGTGTCTCCACTCGGTGGACTCCGGCTGCCTCCACGTCCCCTGCCCTCACCGTTTTGAACTCCATCCCACAGTCCCTTCACCTTGCCCCCTCCCTTACCTCCTTCAAGGCCCATCTCAAGACATTCTGCTTCGACTGCGCCATCGGTTACCCTCTTACCCTCACCTTCCCTGCCCTCCACCTCTGCTGATCCCAACTCCCAGCTGGGGTGCAAATCCTTGACTGTCCAGCACCTTGGGATGTCCTCCCAATATGCCATACAAATATAATTTGTTTTTATTGTTCAAGCAACAGGGAAATAACTAAGCTGCCACCAAGGAACCCAAGTGAAAACAACAATACAGTTTCATTTGATGTATTCTGATTATGTCCAGAGTGAAAAAAAAAGAATTGTGTCCCTCAAAATTAGATAGGTCACCCATTTAGTCAGTGGGCTGAATACTGACCGCTGCACACTTCAGATCCAATAGTTTCACTGAACTCAGTATGTGACACTTCTGTACCAATAACTTTAGGAATGGGAGCAGGAATCAATTTGGGGATTGATCTTCTTGGAGAATGTGGGTCATGCTATCGGCACCCTACTGATAATATTAAAAGCAGAGAAACAGCAAAGCGGAAAGCAGCAATGTGCCATGGACAGCATTATGATGCTGAGTATACGTAGAAAAATGGTGTGCCTCAGTGGTAAGTCAAGACAAGAGCAGCCTAGCAGTAAAATATTCTGCAAGACAGTGAACAATATTGCCTCAACTCCCATTCCCACAATCGTGTTTCCTAATATCTCCTCGGATTTTGTGGTAGGATTTAAACTAAAAGCCAGTGTTAGATCAGTGCCTGTTCTCTTCACAATGGCAGCCAAAGTGAGATTCTTCCCACTCAATTCACATTAACCCTTGCAAGCCAAAAACATATTGGGTACGGTGCCCCAAGGTGGACAAGCAGTGAGAAGCTTGCCAGACAGTATTTTCAATGGCAAACGATACAGTTTTAGCTGGTTAAACTCCAGCTGTATCCCAAGACTTGGCTCTTGCCAACTTGTGTCTAATACTCTCTGGAATTAGATAGGCAGGGTACGACCCTCCAGAGAGAGAGTTTGCATTCAATTCCACACAGGGAAAATTTCATGTGTAGTTGGCACACCTATGTGGAACTCTCAGCCTGATTTGGATTATTGTAAATGTAGTGATAGGTTTCCGCGTGTGGCAGACACCCGGACGACAAAAATTAATGAACCACATAAAATTGATGGTGGTGCAATCCCAAGTCAGTCTATGCCGACCTTTTTTACCCAATCCTGATAACTTTAGTGGAAAACACTGTACAAATCACTCCTTATGTATGAGAGGGTGATGGTGGTTGGGGGGGTGGGGGGAGGATTTTCGAATTAGGGTCAAATAATAATACTACTGATAAACCTTGCATTTGAAATAGCACCTGCATCTAAGATCATCTCAAAGTTTCTGAAAAGTGAAAAGTCTCAAAGTGCTTCACAAGATATATTATAAAGTGTAGTGACTATATATTTTGCAGGCAAATGAGGCAGCTAATTTTCAAACATCAGTGTCCCCTAAAGAGCCATGAAGTGAGTAACCAATTTTATCTGGAGAATTGTTTGCCAGTATACTGGAAGGGATTCCCTTCTCTTTTCAAATAGTGCATGTGAACTTTAATGTCCTGAAAAGGCAGACAGGACCTTTAACATACCATCACATTTGAAGGATGGCACCTCCAACAATGCAGTGCATCTCCAGCACCTGTTAGATTGTGCGCTCAAAGTCCCAGCGTGGGGTTTGAACCCGTAATCTTCTGACATAGAGCAAGGCTGATGACAATTCAAACTGTGAGAGAGAAAAGAGAGAACTGTAAGATTTGATTTGTGGTATGAACAGATTTCATAATTAAGAAATAGGACAGCTTCTGATGCTGATTCCACCAAACATCACTCCAACTCAATCTATTTTCAGAGTAGAGTTCCCTTGAGTTGGAGTCACGTGCACAATCTGGAAAGAATTTCCGGAAGGATACTCACTTGCATTTTTTTATCAAATCACCCATTAAGAAATACTTGTAAATTGACCCCCAGAGAGTTACTGAAAACAATTGAGGAAAAACAAATGAACAAGACAGTGAAAAATCAATCAGACAGACTGCAAAAGACCAAAAATGATACGATAGGTACAGATGAAGGAGTCCCTTTGTCCCACTTGATCTCATCCTTCCAGTACCCTACTAAAATAATTCAAACAAAGAAAGATACCTACAAAATCCTCAGTCACTACACTTTACAGACAATCCTGTGAAGTGCTTTGAGACGTCCTCCTGACATGGAAGACATTATACCAAAGGCAAGGATTATTATTATAAAATTTTGAAATTCAAAAATTACAATAAAATAATGGTTTAAGAATGTTTATTGAAAGATTATGCTGTGTGTTTCTTATCTCTATGTGTCGGTTTAAAAAAAAGAATTGTGCCTGAGGATGTCAATCATTCAGTTGGGCCCTTTCCCCATCAATAGTCAGATAGCATCCTTTCAGCTACTGAATGCTGGGTCCTGTGCATCAAATAAGTCTTGTTTGTCTTCATTCAAACTTCAGTGATTAGGGAAGACATTGGGATAAAAGTTACAGTGGAACCTTCTGTATTGAGTGCCTGGTTTGAACCATTTTAATATTATTGTTGATGACATTGTAACAATAATTCAATCCTCCCAAGACTTGGAATATCTCATGTTCTTAACCTTTGCAACCGAACCTTTCTTCCCATTCCTGCTAACATTTGTGGGACACACTGTAGAGATGGTGCTGAGTGTCACTGAGAGTTGTGGCTGGTATACAAGTTACTGCTGTTGTGTGAGGAGGAGTGAGAGGAACTTGTCATTGTGGAGGGCACCTTTGCTATCAAATGGTGGTCAAATTCAAACTGACAGAAATAAAAAAAACATTTTGCAGTAATCATAGAATCATACAATCATAGAATTATACAGCACAGAAGGAGGCCATTCAGCCCATTGTTTCTGTGCCGGCTCTTTGAAAAGAGGTATCCAAATCAATCCCGCTTTCTCCCCATAGCCCTGCAAACTTGTCCTCCCCAAATAATTGTCTACTTCTCTCTTAAAAGTTGTTATCGAATCAGCTTCCAACACCCTTTCAGGCCATGCATTCCAGATCCTCTCGGATTATTCTTTTCTTATAATCTTAATGGACGTCTTAGTTAAGAAATTAGGCTTTAGACCATTGTCTTAAAATGTTAAGTTTAGCATAATTTTGAAAAAACTCTTGAATTCAATTTTAATTCATACAGGACACTTCTCTTCAAACTTTAACGTCCTCCTGACCAGGCAGCTAGGACCCCGGTTTAACATCTCTTTTTTATTTTAGAACTAAAGTTAAGAGCATGAGGAATTTCAGGCCTGATTCTAAGTCTCTTCTGCCGCAGTAATATTTGAAGGAATATATTCATCTCTGGACAATAAGACTATCAAATTGGAACAGCTAATAAGGAACAGTGACATTTGTGTGTTGTCTAACTTCAAGGTCCTCACCCTCACCTATAACTTCCTTCAAGCCTGAACACCTCTCTGATGTTCTTCTACTTCACTTCCCTTTCACACTCTCTGCTAGGCTAACTAAGGCCTTCTGTGTGTCGCCATTGCGGGGGGAGGGGTTAGGGGGCGTGAGCCTTCAGTTAGTATGCCACTAATTCCTGGAACTCCCTTCATCTACCTCTCCACCTCAACATCTTTTTATTTTTCTTTAAATCCCGCTTTAAAACCCACCTCTTTCATAGCACCTATGATCACCTTCTCCTTCTCCCTGTCTGGCACTGCCACTGTGAAGCATAGACATAATCCTATATCAAGGGCGCTATATAAAGATATATAGCACGTTGTTATTAAGTTACTTTTCTCAAAGAGGTTATCAATGGCTTCCTGATTCCATGATGGTGGTAGTGGAGAGGTGGGGCGGAGAACTGAGAAAGAAGTTGATATGGCAATGATTGTAGATTCTGAGCAGTAGCAACCACCACTTACGGAGAGGCAGCAAAATATAAATGTTTCTTTTGAATAAAGATTGGTATCCCTGAGAGGGGGAAATCAATAATTGTCGGAGGCAAATAGCTCCCTCTGCCGGGGGAAAAGGAAATGTGCTTCCACTGCATTCTAAGTAGGAAATGTCAACTATATACTTCATTGTTCAGTTCAAGAGACTTATTCATTGGGATTGTACCATTTCTTACATAAAAAGAAATTGAATAAACTGATGACTTAATGCTTCAAATCAATAACATCTTTACAGAAACGAACAACATAAATGGGCTTAGAGTACTAAGCTCCCGTGAAGGAGTTAGCACTCAACGGGCTGAATGGCCTCCTTCTGTACTAACATAACATGTAGGAGCAGGAGTAGGCCATTCGGCCCTTCGAGCCTGCCCCGCCATTCAATCATGGCTGATCTTCTAATCTAACTCCAGCTAATAACCTGACCCTGCCTTATCCCCATATCCCTTAATCCCTTTTGCAATAAGAAATCTATCTATCCCAGTCTTGAATATGTTCAAGGAATTCCTATTTTGAGACTGCTATAGCTTTACAGGCTGTCAAATAGGATTGCCTCTTCTGAATGTAGGGTAAGACAATACAGTGTGTACAGAATACTTCTGTGCCCTTTGACTATGTGGAGCCACTCTTTGGACATCACTCTTTCTACGTGAGATATTACAGAAAGAGACACACCACACACAAACAAACACACACACTTTAAACTCCACTTGCAATAGTTTGTTATCACAGGGTTACAATTTTACCACGATGCAGAGATCTGTTTGCGATTTTTTTTCTCTTAAAAAAAACGCCAACAAAACTTGCAGCTGATCTTCGGTTAATGGAGCTCTCCGGGACTCTACTCCTCGTGAAGGGCGCGATATCAATGCAAGTTGTGTTGTGCCGAGTGCTCATGTATTCTTCTTGCTTGTCCTTGCAGCGAAGCGCTTTTGCAAGAACTCCAGTTCGGCCAGCAGCACCACGAGCAGTTACGCCCCCAGCAGCAGCAGCAGCAGCATCAGCTGCGGGGGAGGCAGCAGTGCCAGCAGCACCTCTAGCAAGAGCAGCTTCGACTACACACACGACATGGAGGCGGCTCACATGGCAGCCACGGCCATTCTCAATCTGTCCACCAGGTGCCGAGAGATGCCCCAAAACCTCTCAACAAAACCTCAGGATATATGTGCTAGAGTAAGTGATATTCCTCCTCCCCTCCTTTTAAGTTCATATTGATTTGCAAGCATAAATGACAAGACTTTTGGTTTTAACATTTCACTGATGAGTGCCCTCCACTTTGCCCCTTCACTCCCTTCTTCCCTCCTCACTTTCAAATCCTGCCTAAAGACCTTCCTTTTTGATTATGGTCACCTCCCCCCCCACCCTCCCTCTCCCCCTGTATCGGGATTAGACTCTGCCACTGTCAAGCGATCCGGGTGCTATTCCACGTGAAGGGCACTATATAAATGCAAGTTGTTGTTGTTTCATGTGTACAGGCCTAAGCAGAAGGAACACCCGAGAAAGACTGACCCATTGTCGCTGCTTAGATTATTGAAATTCAGTAAGACAAACCATGTGCTATTGTTTGAATTATCCCCATCATCTTGTATTTTATCAGATTTTTTAAAAAAATAGTCCTTTATTTTAATAGGATTTTGAAACCGTTTATTTATTCATCACAGGACCAACCATCCATCCTTCATTTCTGTTTGCTTTTGGGATCTAATTCATGCTGTTACTTTGAAGGGAATGAAACCAAATTTTAAATTCAAATTTTAAATTCAAATTAAATTTCTAAAACGTCGAATGTGCTGACGAATCCATTCCTTTTAGCACATTCGATGTTTCCAGAAATTGAAAAGGTACGCATTTCTTAGGCAGACAAGCATAAGCACAAGCAAGTCAGGTAAGAAATACTGCTGTTCAGATCCCAGGAGCTGCAGGTAATCATGAGATTTTAAATTTCTCTCTTAAACTTATGTTTCTGATGCGCATCAAGATGAAAATCTCTTAAGCTGTTTCAATTGCACTTGTGGCAGATAGTCTTGATGAAAGCTGCAGTATAAATCGGGGCTGATTTAAAAGGAAATTTAATTCACATTAAGAGGAAGTCTCAAAGCGTTTCATACGATTTACTGTAAATTGTAGTGACTGTATGTTTTATAGGTGAACCCAGTACCCAATTTTGCTCACTGTAGTACCCATCACAAACAACCATGAGCAATTTACTCAGCTGAGTTGTTGCTTAAGCACAGTGGGTGTGAATAGATTGCATCTCTGATCTCATGTGATTAGTCCACAAACTTTAAAGGGACCATTTTTCATTCTTATTTAAAGTGACCGGCTCTTCGATAGCATTGTAAAACTGGAATCCGGTTTTGAGACTTGCGTTGCAAATCAGCGTGTATGCAATATTTTAAACTTTAGCTGGTTCTGGAGCATTTCCTGGGAGCAAAGTTGGCTGCTGCGTTCACCTATAAAATACACAGTCACTCCAGTTTACAGTAAAACTTTAAAATCAAGTTGCATTTATTTTTTAACAGCTTTGAGTCATTGTGACAAGGAGTGGGAAGAATAATACAGGCTTTCCCCTCTGCATTGCCCTACTGTTGGAAGCAATATAGCTTTGGTCACTCAGGACCCTTCCAGTCAGCAGAGAGAGACTTTCATTACATCAATCTGGGCTGATGAAAATAAAAGCCAGCTCCTAGATAAGGTAGAAATCTGCAAACCCGTTGCACCATCTAGTCTCCCTGAAACTTTCATATTTAATAATCCTCCTCAGGCATCCTTGTAACTTATGAGTTCATATTAGCTATCTCCCCTTTGTAAAATAACATTGGGGTCTAATATGGTGGCAATTTTCATTGGATTTTTTAATAAGGAATGTGAGTGAGGACTCTTTCTAGTAACTGGAAATATGACATGCACATCACTCCAACTCTAACTCGCACAATATTCCCCTGAGAGAGATCACAGAGGGGCATAGATTTTGCTGGATGGTATGATGCAGTTCCGATATCTTTGTTTCACAACTGCTCGCACTTATACAATGCCTTTCACATAGGCAAATGTCTATGAGTCCGAGTGGGATTCCAAACAGGGTGGGAGATAGTGGATGAGTGGGGGTTAGTGGGGACAAGAAGGTGATCACTGAACATGCAGTCAAAAAGGTAGAAGGGTTTCGAAAGGAGTATGAGGCAGTACGATTTGGGGAGACAGTTCCAGAGGGCAAGGGAAAATGATTCAAAGGTAACCCATGGTTAGTAAAGCAGATCTGAGTTGTCAAGAGTGTGTGTGGTGGTGGTGGGAAAGGGGGTTATTAAATTGTAGGAGCTCATTGAGGTAACTTGAGGCAAAGGGATAGAGGCATAATAACTTGCATTCATATAGCATCTTTCAAGTAAAATAGAGATCTCAAAACACTTCACAAGTTAAAATTAGTTAGAAATGAAAGTGAAAGTTATATAGGCTAGCACAGAGCATCGCCAAATAACAAATAGATGAGGAGTCAATTAATTAATTAATTATCCCACCTGAACACCTACTTCTTTGACCTGTACCTATGGTCATCTTCATCTCCTCCTTATCCCTCGCTCAGTCAGTATCCAACTCCGCCACTGTGCAGTGCTCCGAGACACTATCCTGCGTGAAGGGCATTCTATAAACCAAAGTTGTTGTTTACTGAAGAATCTTCTTCGAAATTGTCGCATATTAGACTTCATAATTGGAAAATGTCTGTGCATTCTCTGGGTTTAAAGACAGGGTTTAAAGTAGAGATGTGCTAAAATGAAAAAAGCTGAAGATATTAAGGAAGAAAAAGATACGAGGAGCATATGTGAAAACCAGTTGACTACCACAAAATAGACAGCTCAGGAGTGAGATACGATTCAAAAGGGTGAATGAACTATGTAGGACCGACAGAATTTTGTTTTTGGCGTAATTCCAGTCTTGTCATCTTGTTGATGCCATATGTTCTGTATTGTGGTAATATAGGATATATAAATAATTTATATATAGAGAGGCATGCTATCAGGCTACTTTATGTTGCACACTAAAGTTGTGATGAGTCATTGCCAAGTGTGTGGTATAAAGGGTGTGCTGAGGCAGTGTGAATCACACTGGAACCCTGGTCCAGACACCATCTGAGCTCACTCCCAAGTGATACATTCATAGCTTATAGTTCAGCCAATTGGCAGCTTACCAAGCTCGAGCCAGAACGTCATCAATGTGATTGAAGAAGACATGATAAGGTGCTATATCAAATGCAAGTTTAGCTATTATTTTAACGTGTGCAGATTCTGGCTTATTCTTATTACACACTTATTTGGAGGCCCATTTTCCTGTAAATTATTTTAAGAAACTACAGAAAACTGACTTCAAAGTTAAGACTGAATTCAACAATTTGCTAATTCTGGAAGGTCTGGTTTGAAATGCTACGTAAATAGAATAAATCTAGACCCAGGTGAATAGTCAGTGTTTTGTGCATTTGCCAAATTGCCATGTGAAGTACGTGAAAATTGAGGCATTAGTTTTTTCAGGTCATGAAGTGGAAAGATAAATCATATTTACTGCTGCACACTGCTACTATGTGGAGCAATTTTTTCTTGGTAGTATAAAAAGTACATTAAAATGCATATAAACCTTGATGTAGAGGATTTTATTTAAAGTAATTTTTCAGATGGTAATTACTGTCTGAATGAGTTCATCTTTCGCCCACAAAATACAGTCCTTTCACTTTACAGTATATTCCGTGAAGCACTTTGAGACATCTCGAAAATGTGATAAAAAGAAGTTTAGATGATGATGAAATGCTTTGTTGAGTTTGAGCAGGAGTTAAACGTGAGGGGCCAATTTTATTGGAGTCCCAAGAGGGTAGGATTGAGTCAGAGCCAGGGTCAGAGTCTGGTCACTACAAAATCCATTTAAAATAAGTCCAACAGATGTCTGCTTGAATCTCTCCACCGTGTGAGTCAGTTGGTGGGAATTAAACATTTTTTCGCTGGGGTGCCCATGTGTGGGTAGAGTGTGACTTTCCCCTTGAGGCTCCAATGGAATCAATGGAACCTGTGGGAATTGGGTCTTATTCTATGCAGATGGACCGAGTGACAGGAAGCTCAATCTGGCGGAAGCCTGCACAGTTGAAAATTGAAACAGCTTTGCGATGGATCGGAGATCACTTGAGTGCTTTGCGAAGGTTTGGACGATATGTGTATGTCACTGGGCAGGAACACAAGGGCAGTAATCACAGTAATTAGTATGAAGGAGAGGGAGGGAGCAAATGAACAATGGACACAGATAGAACATGTGATGGAGAAGAGACGGAAACATGGAGCAGGCAAGGGGGAGACACAAGAGTGATGACATTTATAAAAATTTAAAAGGGGCAGGAATGTGGAAAAAACATAGGGCAGAGGAACGTTATTATAGCATAGTTGACTGAGTCTAGTTGTTCACACTCTGCGTTAATCGGTGTTAAAAAGTGGGTGACTTCTGGGATATCAGATCACCACTGACATCACTTCAGCACTCTGAGAGCTTATCCTATGTGAAGGGCCAATGGAATCAAGCAGAATAACATGTAGACTGCATAAGAGCTTCATTATTGTGCAATTTCAGTTATAACATAGTCACATTAACTGCTCAGGCGCACAACTGGCTTACTAACAAGTCCTGTGGAGTACTCAAACCACTTAAAGCCCATTGAGATTTAATGAGAAATAATTGCAAATTGGATATGTTATGTTAATTGTGACTTGGGTTTGAGAATATCGGATTGTGAGATTTGCTGAAAGAAAAATTACGGAAAATAAGCTTCTAAATTAAGAGCTAATTTAAGAATTTTTCCAAATTTTTGCGCATGCTTCGATTTTAAGACTAAGATCACCAGCAAATTGGAGCTTCAAATGAGGATCAGTTTAGTTATAATGGACTCTACAGTCAAATATTTCACTGCAGAAGTGAAGCAGGTACTTGATGTCTAGGTATTAATTCAAAACCATTTGAAAGATGCTACAAATAAGTGGAACATTGGGACCTATTGTTCAGACCATTGAATTAAAACATTCACAGTTCTCTCTGAAATACTTTCTTCTTTAGTTTGTTGTTTTCCATCATTCTACAATCGCTAATCAAACTCATTTTGCCCACAACATATACAGTCAATTCACTTTAGTGTATATTCTGTGAAGTGTTTGAGACATCTCAATGACATGATAAGGTGCTATATCAACTGCAAGGATTATTGTTATTATTATTAAAGTTCAGCTCTTACACAGTCCCAAGCTCTACGTTTAGTTTGACTTGATTCCATTAGCATCAATACGAGATGCTATTTGATTCCAGCTGCTAAACTCATGTTCTTGGAGTGAACACTGCTCACTTATGCCATAAATCAAGAAAAAAATGGAAACAAAACATTGATTTCAAACAAACTTACATAGACTTGCACAAATGTTTGGCGGGCCACTTGTTGATGGCCCCCATGGGCAACTTTCTGCCTGTAGGCCATGGATTGGCCACCATTGGCCTAGATCATGTGCTGAAAGCCCCAATGCAAAGTCAGTGATGATAGTGGGCATGTGGCAAATCGAGGAAGCTGGGATTCGGGTCCTTATTTTAGAGTGAGGGGGAAAATGGACCATCGTGTAGGTGCACATGTGGTGAATAATAATAATAGCAATCCTTGCATTTGATGTAGCGGCTTATCACGTCTTCGAGACGTCTCAAAGCGCTTCACAGAATATACTGTAAAGTGAATTGATTGTATATTTTGTGGGAGAAACATGGCAGCCAATTGCGCACAGCAGTGTCCCACAAACAGTCATGGTTTAAGTGACCAATTTATTATATTTTTTGAAGGAATTATTACCCCCAGAAAAGTGACTAATAACCGGGTTCCTACTTACTGTTAGGTAAACAGGCATGTGGAGTAAGGAAACTTGCCCAACATTTCGCCCTGCAGGGAAACAAATCTTGGTGTCTCACTTGTGAGGCGAGAGACCAGGGTTCGTAACCACTGAGCTATAGGACTCCACGTCACCTTCTCCCAACCGAGAAGAGTGAAAAAGGACAGGTTACATTGGGACACATTCAAAAATCTCCAGTGATTGGATTAAAAACACCATGAACTAAAGTTTTTAAAGAGGTTACTGTCACACTTAAGGTGAAGGTCCACTTGAGTGAAGTACTAGAGCAATTGCCAGTGTCGCCATTCATTTCCTCTGACAGGAGAGCAGGCAAAGACGAGTCACACTGGAGTAATATTTGAAGGAAAAGAATCCAAAACAAGCAAAGATTGAGGTCATGGCATCTCTCCTTGATTCTTTAATAAGGAATCCTGTTAGAATTTCTGCCAACCCAACAGAGTTTCCTTGGAGCAGCATGACAATGATCAGTCATTGGAAGAAACCCTCATTTGTGCAACTTGGTTCATTATTAAGGAATTCCATTGAGAAATAATGAAAATTAGATCCCTCTAAAGTCACAAAGAAGAAATCGAGTAGATTGCTTTGGATGAAAAGTACACACTATCGACACCATCTGAAACTTTGGAATTGAACAGCTATTAAAACTCTCCAGTGTTATTCCCTCCCTCACTTTTGTCTGACTTCTCTAATTGATTTTGCTTTCCCATCGAGGTTTGAGCTCAACTTTCTAGGCCTTGATTTCAGGTGTACTCAGCTGTAGCATTGGCTATCAATTGAGACTCAACGCCTTTTACCTCTCTGCTGAAGCTTTCTTCATCTTTCTGGCCTTGAATTTGTTTCATTTTAGCCTTTATTTCTGGCTCAACAGTGGTGCTATGATGGACCCTATAACAATGTCTCTCAGATTTAACGCCCGCTTGTCTTAATCCCTTACCAGCAACTTCTGTTTGCCTCAGTAGGTTCACTGATGTCACTGTGACAATTGGAAAAAAATACAAAAACAATTACAAATTAATTTTAACTAAGGATGGATTTAAGCAAGGCATGAATGTATAGACAAGAAGCTTTGATATATCAGATATGCAACATCGAATTGTCCTGGATGTGTTAACCAGAGAGTTGTGATATCTGTTTAAGGAAGAATACAGCACTGGAATATCAATTGGAGGGAAGCAGTAAAAAAGGAAAGGAGACAGAATTTAAAAAGACTTAAATCATTTGTTGGCAGATACAATTAATAATAATAATGCATGCAGTTGACGTAGCGCCTTTCACATTGGGAGAAGGTCTCAAAGCATTTCACAGGATTTTACTATCAAGTGCAGTGAAAGTATAATTTTTGTAGGCGAATGTTGGAAAATATATGAAAAGCTAGTGTTGAAATTGATGTACAACAACAGCAACAACAAAATTACATTTGTATAGTGCCTTTCACGAGGGAGGATGTCCCAAGGCGCTGGACAGACAGAGTTATGGACCCGAGTTGAGGGTCGGGGTGGGGGAGGGGAAACGGCAGGGGGGATGCAGGGAGATCGAAAGTATGGTCAAAGAGGAGGGTCTTAAGGTGGGTCTTGAAAGTGGTAAGGGAGGGGGCTAGACGGAGGGACTGCGGGATGGAGTTCCAGAGGGTGGATTCAGAGTGGCGGAAGGCCCAATGTAGATTGTTCATTGAGGAAATCAGCTGTTGCCATCTGGGTCATAGAGTCCATGGTGGGCAGGGAGAGATGAATATACCTGAGACATCTGAGTCTTGGAAAGTTTGAAAGAGAAAGAAACAATATCGGACAATGATGGATCATTTGTCATAGAATCGATTAGTATCAACTTGGTTCCCAGTCATCCCAGCAGTCAGCCTCACTAGGAGCAGTGGCTGAAAATTAAATTCTCCAGTTTTCTGTGACACTGATGAGCTGAAGTTGCTTTCTGAGATTTTTTTCCCCACAAGACTACATGAGCGATTAGGATAAAGAAAGCTCTTCAATCCATTTGCCCTCATCATTTCTGAATACCGACCCTTCCATCTTCCCATTATGGCATCAAGCTGTTTATTAAGAATTCTGGTTTAATCCACCTTCTTGGTAACCCATTCCAGTTACTTATTAAAATGCATATAAAGAAATACCTCCTAGCGTCTGTTCACCTCTGCTTTTGATTTTGTCTTGTGGTACAGCATTAACATAATTCAGCAAGTGATGTCTTTAAACAGTACCGTTGGATGTAGGGTGTGTTACAATGTGTGAAACGTGAGAAATTCACCATTCATTGAAAACTGCATAACTTCTGCGTATGGCGTGCCCATTCTATAATTACACATTAATTTAACGATGAGATCATCAGTTGTGAGACCAGACTTAGATCACTTTAAAATGGACCCCCTCTCCCCTCCTATATAAAAAAAATCAAAGTTTCAACATCTGCTTTCCAATTTCTCCCACATTCTCATAACGTCTTATTGATACATGAATTTTGCCCGAGGTAAAAAGCTAATTGGGAAAAATCACAAAAGGCGATTCCCTTGCCTTCAGAAATCAAATATAGAAAGTATGTTACGTTTGGTTCTGGGGCTGGGATATGAGAAGGGAATGCTCTCTGTGTATTTTTATTGCTTTTCCCACCCACCTCACTGTGTGCCAGTCAAAGAAAGATTGAAGCTTCTGGACCTAATAAAAGGCAAGGTTTTCAATCAAAAATAATACAGAACTGATGATTTTCAGTAAGGTTGCAGTATATCAGAGTTTCTGAAGCCTCTCAAAGTCCCCCACCTCTGTCAGAGTGTTTCACGCAGCTTTGGAGGTTTAACCCTGTTTGTATAAAATTGCTGAGGCCTCAACGTAATGTATGAAACTGGAAATACAAGCAGCTGGTATGCAGTGCAAAGACAGTTTAAAAGGGATGATCTTTATTATGCAGAACCCTGAGATCGAGGTGGATGAGAATGGAACCCTAGATCTGAGCATGAACAAACAGAGGCACATGGATGGCAGCTGTGGCAGCAACAGCAGTACTGGTTTGCTGACTCCATTAGAACCAATGTCCCCACAACGGCAGAACATGATGGTCAACAAGTGCTATCCAATGAACGAGAGTGATTGCTGGGACTTGCCGGTAGACTACACCAGAATGAAACCTCGGACGATGGACGAGGAGGATCTCAAAGAGGTATTCCTGAAAGGCAGAGTTAAAAGGCATTAGCAAGTAGAAGGAATAGCATCTGAGTTATATTGAATGTGCATATTCATGTGGTTCAAATGAGGAATTTAAGGAGAGGGTTTCACCATCAGAGCTCCTTTTCTAAAAAAAAATGAAACACTTGCAATGAATTAAGAACATTTGGACAGCTTTTTTTTGGAGTGGGGCAAATCTTTCTGTAATTTCTTCATTTAAAAAAGATTATTCAAGTGTTGGATTCTAGTGAAATAAATTGGGGGAATGGCTTAGACTCGGGGGACGGTCCAACCTTTTGTCTGCTGAGGACCGGATACCCTGTTTGAGAAATGGGTTGCATAAGCAATATTTGTGTGTTTCACTTCCAGAAACATAACATTTACAGGTTACGGAGGGAGTGGGTGGACTGGATGAAATTATCCCCGGGCTGGATACGGCCTGCAGGCCGTCAGTTGGAGTCGCTGAGCCCCACTGTATGAGGAAACTGAATTACCATACATGAGGGAGAAGGGAATAGAGGCTGGGGAGAGAGGGATTAGGAGGAGTGGAGGGCTCATATGGAATATAAAAATTAGCACACACTAGCTGGGCTGAAAGGCCTGTTTCAGTGTTACAGATTCTATGTAATTCTATGTCAAAAAAGACACATATAGTAGCTCCTCACTATCATATTCTTGACATGCCCATGACTTCTGATGAGTCAGAATATTTATAATAATAATAATAATAATAATCCTTGCATTTGATATAGCGCTTTTCACGTCGGGAGGACGTCCCAAAGCGCTTCACAGAACACACTGTAAAGTGAATTGACTGTATACTTGTGGGCAAACGCGGCAGCCAATTGCGCACAGCAATGTCCCACAAACAGTCGTAGATTAAAAATGACCAATTTATTATTGTCTTTGGTTTTGGAGGGATTATTATTAGGCTCTGTGTGGAGTAATCAAACTTGCCCAAGGTTTCGCCCTCTGCCTGGAATTGAACTCAGGTCTCTTGCTTGCAAAGTGAGTGCTCTAACCACTGAGCTACAGGACTCCACGCTTATTTAATTTAATTTTATGGATTATTTAATGGTCTTTGAGAATCTTTAATGGTAAAATTAATAACCTGAATAAATCTTCACTCATGCTGTTCAAAACAACAACAACAACAACAACAAGATTTCATTTATAGAGTGCCTTTCACGTCGGGAGGACGTCCCAAAGCACTGGACAGTTGGGTCAGGACCCGAGCAGGGGGGAAATGGTCAGGGTGAGGGGAGGGAAGGGAGGGTGCGAGGAAGGGGGAAATGGTCAGGGTGAGGGGAGGGAAGGGAGGGGACGAGGAGGGGGTAGAGAGTTGAGAGGGGAGCTGAAGGCACGGTCAAAGAGAAAGGTCTTGAGACCGGCCTTGAAGGAGGAAAGGGAGGAGGCGGCGAAGGCACTGGGGGATAGAGTTCCAGAGCCTGGGGGCTGAGAGGCTGAAGACCTGACCACCGATGGTAGGGCAGTTGGGGCGGGGGAATGTGGAGTAGACCGGAGCCAGAGGAACGGAGGGTTCGGGCAGGTAGCTAGGGGGATAGTAGATCGGAGAGGTAGGAGGGAGCGAGGCCGTGAATGGCCTTGTAGGTGAGGATGAGAATCTTGAATTCGATCCTCTGGCGGATGGGAAGCCAGTGGAGGCGAGCGCGGGTGGGAGTGATGTGGTCACGAAGAAGAATTTAAGAATTTTAAACGGCTCCAAAATATTTTATTTGGGCATTCTTTCGGTATTTGTTTTTCATTAAACAAACAAGCAAACAAACAAACACATAAACACATCTCTGTTTACCTCGCAGTAATTAGGAACCCAGTTGTTAGTCAATTGGTGGATGGCTTTCCATCCCTCAAAAAGAAATTGGTCACTCAATCCACAACTGTTTATGGTGCACACAATTAGGGGGTAAGTTTTGTCCACAAGATACACAGTCAATCCACTTTACGATATATTCAATGAAGTGCTTTGAGATGTCTTAACGACATGACACAGCGCTAAATCATGTGCAACGATTATTATTATTTTTGTTTGTAAAAATGATTTATATAAGTATTGAACCTGCCGGTTCCCTCCACTCAGCTGCCTCTGGCCTGCTCCACATCCCCCGACCCACCCGCCCCACCATTGGCGGAAGAGTCTTCAGCCACTCTGCCCCCAGCCTCTGGAATTCCATCGGCCATTCCCCTTCCCCTCCCGTCCCTTCACCCCCCAATCCCAGCTCAGGTCTGAAATGCTGTTCTCTGTCCAAGGCCTTGGGACATCCTCCCGATGTGAAAGGCGCTATACAAATGTAATCTTGTTGTTGTTGTTTTAGGAACAGAATCGGAGAACTAACTAAGAGGAGTCATTGAGCCCCCTCCCCCACCAGTGCTCATTCTAAAAATAGTTGAAATCTTTAACTCTTTAACTTTTCTCTTTTTTCCCCACACTAAAACTCTGACACTGGATCTTAGTGTGGGAAGGATTATAGCAGAAAAATAGATATGAATCATCCTGAAGAATCTGATATTCAATAATTCAGTCATTTCTTTAGCATCATCCTCAATATCACACATTGGAGTAGGTTAGGAATGTAGAGAGGAATTGCTGCATAATTTCCTGTTGCAGCTGGAAAAATATATCATTGCAAGACCTGTAATATGATTAGTTTTGTCACTGAGCTATAATCCAGGCTGACACTCTAGTGCGGTACCCAGAAGCACTGCAGTGCTGGAGGCAATGCAGTGCTCGCTAGATATTGCCCTGGAGTGTCCTTTGGATGAGACGTTAAACTGAGGTCCCATCTGATTGTCTGGTAGTTCAGACAATAGTTAAAAAACAATGAAAATTTTTCAATGTAGAGTTGCTTATCCCAGTAAATGTAATTCCCACTCTCAACCAAATTTACAAAACCACATATTAATTGTTATTTGATTTCAGTTTGTGGGACTTTGCTGGTGCAGATTAACTGCTGCGACTGCCTAGATAATTGTCACTGAATAGCAAAGTAACTCATTGCATAAACAGCAACAACAACTTGTCTTCATAAAAGTTCCTATTCGTAGAGTAGTATCTCGGATTCGGTCAGACACAAGAGGGAAGGTGGTGGGAAAGCACTTGAGATGGTTTGATTTGAGAAGCCAAGATATTAAATTTAAAAAATCCTTGCATTTATATAGTGCCTTTCACATCAGGAATACGTCTCAAAGCGCTTCACGCAATATACTGTAAAGAAGACTGACTGTGTATTTTGTAGGTGAACACAGCAGCTAATTTGTACACAGCAGTGTCCCACAAACACTCATTAAGAAAATGACCAATTTTATTTGGGGTATTAATTGACCAGGATACTATGAGAACTTTTCTTCTCTTTTCAAATAGTGTCATTGGTTCTTTATATCCCACCTGAACAGGCAGACAGGATTCTGGTAGGATAGAGAGAATAAGCCCAGCACAATTTTTCAGATATGGTACAGCAGCAGGAACTTGTTCAGGGATGCGAAAAGCAAATTTAAGACAGATCACAATAAATATTTCTTTCCACAAAGGCCACTGTGAGGGTGATTGAGGTCTGGACACTGGCTTGATACAGTAAGAAAAGAATAATAGGTTGCGTTTTCTGGAAAGATAATATTAAATGGGCTGAAGTGTTTTCTTCATCTGAGACTTGTTGGAACAACTTGTCTGGCTTATTGATAAGGCTTGCAAGGCTTTTAGAATCATTGAATAAGGATGTGGTAGTGCGGTGGTAGCACAATATAATTAGGCCAAGTCAACATGGCTTTACAAAAGGGAAGTCATGTTTGAAGAATCTCATAGAGTTTTCTGAGGATATTTCCAGTAAACTAGATAAGGGTGAATCAGTGGACGTGGTCTATTTGGACTTCCAGAAGCCATTCGATAAGCTGCTGATTAAAGGTTAGTCCAAAAGATAAGGGCCCATGGAATTGGGGGGAGCATATTAACGTGGATCGGGGAATGGTTAACGGGTAGGAAACAAAGAGTAGGGATAAATGGGTCCTTTTCAGATTGGCGGGATGTGACTAGTGGAGTGCCACAAGGATCAGTCCTTGCGCCTCAGCTATTTACCATCTACATCAACGATCTAGATGAGGACATCAAAATTAATATATCTAAATTTGCAGATGACACAAAACTAGGAGAAAGTAAAAAATTGGGCAGGTAGGTGGCAGATGAAGTATAATGTGGGGAAGTGCGAAGTCATCCACCTAGGTAGCAAAAACAGTAGAGTGGGTTATTTTTTAGAAGGGGAGAGATTGGAATGTGTTAGCGTCCAGAGGGACTTGGGTGTCCTTGTACACCAATCACAGAAAGTTAGTCTGCAGGTGCAGCAGCAATTAGGAAGGCAAACGGTACGTTACCATTTATTATGAAAGGATTAGAGTATAAGAGTAGGGAAGTCTTGCTGCAACTGTATAGGGCCCTGGTGAGACCACACCTGGAAAACTGTGTCCAGTTTTGGTCTCCTCATTTAAGGAAGGATGTACTTGCCTTGGAGGAGGTGCAGCGTAGATTTATTAGGTTAGTATCAGGGATGAAGGGGTTGAGTTACGAAGACAGGCTGACCAATTTGGGCCTACAATCTCTAGAATATAGAAGAATTAGAGTGGATCTTATAGAAACCTATAAGATCATCAAAGGGCATGATAGAGTAGATAGTGGGAGATTGTTTCCCCGGGTTGGAGAAACTAAAACCAGGGGTCACAACCTTAAAATCAGAGGCCAGTCCTCTCAGCACTGAGTTGAGGAAGAACTTCTCCACTCAAAAGGTGGTGAATGTATGGAACTCACTACCCCAAAGGGTTGTTGGCGCTCAGTCCTTGAACATATTCAAGACTGAGATAGATAGATTTCTTATTGCAAAAGGGATTAAGGGATATGGGGATAAGGCAGGGTCAGGTTATTAGCTGGAGTTAGATTAGAAGATCAGCCATGATTGAATGGCGGGGCAGGCTCGAAGGGCCGAATGGCCTACTCCTGCT